GGCACGGTTTCGGAGGAGATACGGAAAACGACACTTCGGCTCCTTCTACTATTATATAGTAGATTTGTCCCATATTCTAAATCACTGGGTTGTCTGGTCGAAAAACAAGTGCATTCCAAGGTTATATATTTCATAATAAAAGACTTGACACTTATGAATAATACAATTATGTACAATAAATGAAAGTTTTAAATTGTTAACAGTTTAAAAATTTGCATCTAATTGTCTATCAACATCTTAGACTAATTTTTTTCAAGTTTGCTCTAATAAATAAAATGGAGTGAGGCGGTCACAGGGAGGCTAGTAAAGTGTATCCGGCGGGACCGCTATCATATCACTGACACACATGCAGAGATTATAGTTTGAATATGAAAGTACAACAGAAAAGATTGATGTGATGTATTTTACAAAATAAAAAAGTACAACAAAAAAATGCATATTATAAATACATTTATAGCGTCCGCTACACTCAGTCATACCACTGTTTGTACTCAGAGCTAGCATGGAACTGCCTCGTGTCTTCTATCAGAATGAAGGCCCTGTTGGGGCTGGCCTACACAGTGAATCAATGCGCGGCTGTTTTGAGATCAATAAGCAAGCAACGCAGCTCTGCCTGGATGCTATCGGTATGATCAGGGAGACAGCTAGTATTAGTAACTATAAGTAAATGCTGTAGTGTAAAAACTTGACTGTTTCTAGGATCATTCTGGCGATAAACCAACTTCGCGCTAGGTTACTGTGTTCGTGCACGTTCACTTTTGCTTTCTCGAACACAGTCACACTTAAATCATAATAACACTAATAATGTACTGGTAACATAGACACTAAATGGTAGCCGCATCTTTCCAAGCGTGCGTGCATGTGTGTGTGTGTGTGTGCGGGTGTGTGCGCGCGTGCGTGAGCGCATGCGTGCGTGCGTGCGTGCGTGTGAATTATGAGTCTATAACTGTTTGCGTATATGTGTGCTTGCGTGCACGTATAGTGAGTGATACATCTATTTTTTATTTACTTTCATACATTTTTTAGTGTTGAAATATAACGGCATATAGGAAAAAACATATACAATGACCATGCAGGCATATGCATCCACTATTTCGTATGCGCATGCGCTGATATTAGACTGTGTCGCGTTTACACCCTTTAATTACCTCTTAGTTTAATACCCTCTAGGGCAGCTAGATGTATAACTTGATCAAGTTTGAGAAATCAAATCACAGGTTATTATAGAATAGTCGCATTTCGCATAAATCATATTTATTCGGTCTAGACGCGCGGCGACATGGGCTATAAGGCTCGTTATTTGTAAGATGTTTCTCCAAAATATGTTTCGTTTGGATTCACTGTTGGCTAACGTATCGTCAAACTGTACACTTGCACTCGCCTAACGCGCACACATGCGCGCAGGCGTGCACGCCCCCCCCACGCACACTTACACGCACACACGTACACATTCATAAATTTAGCATTTGAATTTATACAAATTCATGAGAATAGCATATTGAACCATGTATATACGACCAATTTTGTCACACACATCAAATATAGAAGACGAGAATTTACCCTGTAATACATGTCATCCTCTCACTGCGTAATACCAACAACGGCAAATATATAGCACGTCAACCACTACCAGAGCAACACTTATACACATAACGCAGCAAGTAAACATAGCTAAAGGATGCATGTAATAGCAGGATATTTCCGTTCTCTCCTCAGATGCGTTCCATTCCCGCATAGAGGGAGCTTCCTGCTCGCAGACTTCGCCGCTGCTGATGGAGGGAATTCTGATGGCACTCTTTAAATCCTCATCGGTACGACCAACGCCCGCGTAGCAACGGTCGTAGCCTGCGCGATTTCGCACGAGAGGCGTTGAAATAACCTTGGCCTTAGCTATGACGAGCAAATACTTCGTTGACGATTAGGTTTAAAGACATTTTTTCGATTATTTCTTGCGTGTATTTAAATATGATAAGCATGCACGACCGTAATCCTTGTCGGCTATCACCAGAGATTCCACTGTTTACATCCCGCGTTACAGTTCTATACCTTCAGTAATAAAGCCGAAAGTAAGGCTAACCATGAGTAACCTACGCCTTAGCTCAGACTTCACTCGTAAAACCAACGTGTCATCAAGTTTGATTAGTAGGCGTTGACATAATACTGATCGTGACAGCGGTGGCGACGACGACGACGACACGATACTACTGATATAGACTTACCATTAGTTTGCTTCATACTGTATAGATTCCCTCAGGAAGAAGCACGGAGAAGACTTCGACATTGAGGTAGTTTATGAGGATCAACCTTCAAACGACTGGACGTCGCTGTTCTACCGTCTGCAAGGTACGTAGAATTATTACAGATTCATGAATTAAACATTGGCATATTGACAATAAACACACACACAAAGCTTTATATATATACATATATTCATATATATATATATATATAAAGAGACACACGCACACGCACGCACGCACGCACGCACACGCACACGCGCACACGCACATTGATATATATATATAACACCACACGCGCACACGCACATTGATATATATATATATATATATATATATTCATATACTTGTGCGTGTATAGAGTTGCTAGATTGTGAATGCACGCCAGATATTCGTATGCTACGTTGCAGGCGTGATCCCTAAGCCGGAGAGCTATCTAGTAGCACATCCAGACGTTCGTGTCTTCGCCAGTGGAACGTCCTTCTACAAGCAATGCTTCCCCAACAACTCGCTCCACTTTGGCTTCTCCTGCGCAGGAATGCATTGGCTGTCGCGACTGTAAGTGTACGCATGCCTGTGCGGGGTATACATTACACAATACCGTGTTATTATAACGTATATTGCTATTTGCACATCGCAATCGCGAAGGAGAACTGACACATGTAAATATAAAAGTAACGATGTCTTATATGCTGCTACGAAACTGTTTTACAAACATCCTCTCGTGGCCATATCGCTCTAGTAATCTTTCTACGTCTATTCAGCGATATTTGTGTCGTTACAGCCATAGATTATAGATATTTATTTCATTTCTACGCCAGGCCGTGCAAAATCACTGACGGGCTTCACCCGACACAAATCACCGTAGCCGAGGAACGAGAGATGTTCAGACGCCAGGCGGCTGAGGATTGGGAGACCATACTCGTACATAGGGCCAGAGAGTTGCAACCAGGTAGCCAAAGATTGCTCCTGTTTCTTCTAGCCAACGTAGGCTACAGCTATTCACAACTAACGGTCGTTTTTATGCATAATTGTGACATCAGCGAGTGCATATTTGCGTTAGCCTTTTTATGTTAACTACATCAAGAGCTAATAATACCTAATAATACGTATTATTAGCTCTTGACTACATGTTACTTAACTGTCAGACTACCAGGTACCACTCTTACTAAACAATTTTTTGCACCATTGCAGGTGGGCGACTGGTGATAACTAACCTTGGTACCGATAAAGATAATCAATATGTGGGAAACACCAAGCGTATCAAGTGTAGCTTGATAAAACACATGACGGATAAGGGCCGCACGCTGGTGAAGAAAGGCATCATTACCAAGGTACGACCTCGCGTCTCAGGGGGACAAAAAAACAAAAAAACATCGTTTCTTTATTATTTTACTCGTATTTTTATTATGTACGTATACTCATATCCCAACCTCTTGTGCCTCCAGGAAGAATTCAAGAACATGAATATGAATGTGTGTGTGTGTGTGTGTGTGAACAGAATTCACAGCGACCGTATAGAACTAATGCACAATAGAGCGTTTCTATTGATATAAGCTATAGCGTACATAATAAAATGCAAGTAAATAATAAAATAAAAAAACCCAACGAATGTTTTTTTTTTTTTGGCGGTGTGGCCGTGCTGGTGTGTGTTGTGCGTCGTCGTGTGTGTGTGCTGTGCGCGCCGTGTGTGGTAAGTGTGTGTGTGATGGGTGTGTCGTGCGTGCTGGTGCGTGCGTGCGTGCTGGCGGTGGGTTTGACGGCAGTGCGCTGCGTGCGCTGCATCGCAGTGCGGCGTGCTGCGCTGCGGTGCCGTGCGTGCGTCCGACTGCGTGCGTTCTTACATGCTAATTAATCAAAACTACTAACAATCCCATATCCCGCTGTGTTGCTGTGTTTTTAGCGAAGAGTCTCAGAGCATGAACATCAACACCTGCCGTTCGCACGGAAGGAGGAACTAAAGGAGCCTCTGATAAACGCCGATTTCTCCTGTTTATCAAGCTTGCGCCTCGCCTGGAATCGATGGGAAGCTAAAGCTCTGCCGTTGCACTGTTACTTCCACGACAGATGGTACCTGGCAAAGCGCATCCTGCGTTAGTTGCCAGAGAGAATTATGGGAGTGAGTGACATTAACTTTACCCAGCGAGGTGGCAGCACAATGACTGTGAACTACGCAGTCAGCGTTAGGAGTAGCGCAAGCGATTCGTAATAATTGTATATGTTCGCTCCACGAGCGAGTCAAAATCGATCATGCGGTTGATCATACGCTTACATAGCGCACAATCAGTCGTAAAAAACTAGTCTGCAAAAGCACTACTAATACAAATGTAGAATGATTTATTTAGATCGAGGATTATCACTCGGTGACGCAAACAGTGAATACGCGTGTAAACGTAATTTTTATTAAATGTATTGGTTGTTTGCCTGCTTAGGCCACATCGCAGCCTTGAACTGATAATTGTTTTAATTCCGCCGCCAGGTGACGTTGCCTGCAGCCCGCGCTCACGAAGCACAGTCCTACTGAGTTCGATGCCTATTGGGGAGCAGCGTGTTCTACAGGTCTATCGATAGCCGCCTCCCGATAGATAGAAAGACATAAATCGTAAATGAGCATGTCTTCCAGATTTACGAGGATGACTTGCTCAAAGATCGAGAGACCACGGGCTATTGCTGCATTGTAACTACCTTCGGTAAAATAAAAAAGCTACATTTAGTGTCTATGTTACCAGTACATTATTAGTGTTATTATGAATTTAGGTGACCTGTGTGCGAGAAAGCGACAAGTGAACGCTGCACGACCGCAGCAACTAGCTGCGAAGTTGTTATCGCCAGTAATGATCTTAGAAACAGTTCAAGTTTTTACACTAAGCATTACTAATTAGTTACTAATACTAGCTGTCCCCTGATCATACGCCTACATCGGCAGCAGAGCTGCGCTTGCTTGCTTGTGATCTCAAGACAGCCGCGCAGCTGATTCACTGTATAGGCACAACCCACAGGGCCTTCATTGATAGAAGCACACGAGCAGTTCCACTGACTATCTCTAGTACAAACAGTGGATGACCTGAAGTGTAGGGACGCTTAAATGTATTTATAATATCGCATTTTTTTTGTGTACTTTTTATTTTGCTAAAATACACACAGTCAATCTTGTCTCGTATTACTCTTCATCATTTACAAATATATCTCTGCATGTGTGTCAAATATGATAGCGGACATACGACTTTACCTAGCCTCCTGTGACCGCCTCACTCTCATTTGATTTTAGAGAAACTTGAGAGAATTAGTACAAGATGTGATAGACAATTGAATTAGATGCAAATTACTCTATGTTGAACTTTAACAATTAAAACTTTTATTTTAAAGTACATAGAATTCTATTTACTCATAAATGTCAAGGTTTTTATTATAAATATATAACTTGGAATGCACTTGTTTTTCACGTGATAAAAACGCTCAGAGAGAACCACACAAACCAGTGATTTAGAATATAGGACAACATTCGATATGTTCCAGGTCCCAAGCTCCCCAACCGCGTTTTATGACCAGTGTATCTTCACGTATAATTATAGCAGCTTCACTGGCGGGTGAAACGGCCTAGTATAAAGAGAGGCTGTGAGCTCGATAGCACAGAATGAAACTGCTGTTTGCTTATACTCCAAAGTCCACGAGTAATGCGCTCTCAGGTGGGCTCACAAATAGCGCATAATGTTGTTTAGTGTACAGGATCAAGAAATATCACACGCGCAGCGCACACACCCTATGCACATACGACGCGCACACACAACACGTACGGCCCCACGCAAGCACGCACACACCCATTATGAACCGCGCACACACACACACACACACACACACACAGGTCCGCTAAACATTATACAAAAACACATAACGAAATCAGCGTGGATGTTGTCAGTAATGTTGTCTCATGATACGATGCTTAATATCTTCCGAAACTCGTATCCACGTGGAATACATAAAATAGTCATTCTGTTCTTGGAGGCATTACTGCCAGTAGCAATATTTCTATATACCTTCACCTTTCATGCTTTTTACATCAGTACACTGCTGTCGAAGGACAAATAACTGTTTAAACAATAACGGTATTAATCCTGAGAAGTGTTTATCGCGGAAGTCTACTGGAATTTACCTTTGACATTATTTTATTAATTTATTTTTATTAATTAATTAATTTAAAGACGGTACATCGGTATAAGATATATATCAACATGAGCTTAAAAGCTCCTCGCCGTCAGTGCAATAAACAGAGTTCTTAATTAGAAGTGCTAATTTAACAAGTGACAAGCGACAACACCATGGCAGCTAGGTACCCCAAATGCTGGTACTTTTGTTAAGATTAAATCACGCACACTATATTATTACATTGTACAAAATTGGAAATTAGGAATTGGGAATATTGCCGATTCTGAGAGTAGAGGAAATGGGAGTAGGCGAAATGGGACATAGGCGAAATGGGTGTAGGCGAAATGGGAGTAAGCCAACTGGGATGTTACCTTGTATACAGCTGTTACCCCCCCCCCCCCGCGCATACGTTATTACGCTATGGGCGGTAGAAAAGTATATTAACTCTTACATCTCGCGAACGAGTTGAGTTATAATTCTAGAATTCTACATACAATGTAACATATAGACACATGTCTTAGCTATAATCTCTGTGAATATTGAGTTTATTGAAGCGCAATTATAGATCAATTAATTAGCAAATATGCACGTGCGGTATCGCTCATAGGCTAATATACGCACGGCTATGGGCGGCAGGAAAGTGTATTAAGGATACTGTTAGGGTTACGGACAGGTAACACTGTAAAAAGCATTACAACATAACTGCTCATCAAATTCAATCAAGTGTGTTTCGTGAATTTTGAGTTTATTGAAGCACGATTAGTTTAATTCACGAGGATTATAGCTAAGACATGTGCATGTCTATATGTATCTAGATTTCTAGAATTATAACCCAACTCGTTCGCGAGATATGAGAGTTAATACACTTTCCTGCCGCCCATAGCCGTGCGTATACTAGCCTATAAGCAATACCGCATAGCTGGAAACCGTGGCGCGATGCTGCGAGCGAAGTGAAGCATGTAGATCAGATTTTACCATGCACACGTGCTGTCAGCCTGCACGGTTCCAGTTTGAACGTATAAGAACGGCCGACGAATATTATCTTGCATGGGAGTCAACGGCGACCGAAGTTGCAGCGCCATTTGCCCATACATTAGCATATAGCTAGGAATCGTGGCGCGATGCTGCGATCGAAATGATAATGAACCATGTAGATAAGATTTTACCATGCACGCGAGCTGTCAGCCTGCCTGGCTCCAGTTTAAACGTATAAAAACGGCCGAAGAATATTCTCTTGGCAGTCAACGGTGACCTACGTTGCAGCGCCATTTGCCCATACATTAGCATAGCTGGGAATCGTGGCGCGATGCTGCGATCGAAATGATAATGAACCATGTAGATAAGATTTTACCATGCACACGTGCTGTCAGCCTGCCCGGCTCCAGTTTAAACGTATAAAAACAGCCGAAGAATATTCTCTTGGCAGTCAACGGCGTCCGACGTCTCTCTCTCTCCTCCCCTCCTCCTACTCATCCTTTCTCCTCTCCTCCCCCTCCTATCCTCCATGACGTTTCATTCGATCTCTATTCACCTTCTCGCCTCCCCTCCTCCCTCCTCCTCTTCCTACTCTACCTTCTCCGTTCCTCCTCTTGCTGCCTCCTCCTATCCATGACGTCTTCATTCGATTATCCATCACCTTCTCTGGTCTCCTGGCTTCTTCACTCTCCTGCCTCCCCTATCCAGTCACTTCTCTGGCCTTCTCTCCTCTTCTTCCTGCCTTACTCCTCGGCCGTTTCATTATCGCAGCGCTACTGCGCATGCGCACGAATAGCGCACGAAGTGATGGGAGGTAACTTGAGAACCTCGCGCCCCGGCTCATCTAGACCGCTGCACGGGTAATGCTATCCCCGGCGTGGAGGGAGGCTGACCGCAAAACGATGGCCAGCAATCGGAGCGTGTGGTTAGAGTGTGCTTATGGATTAGACTGGTAGTGAGTCGG